GATTGTGGCCTCGTCCATGCAATCTGGCGGGTGCAGGCAGGATGAATGAAACATGAGTATTTCTCCCTCCACTAATTTTAATATTTTCTTGAAACATTTATTCGTGGTCTGCATTTCTGGAGATGTTTCGATGTTCCGTCGTCGCCGATGTGGCGTCGCTGTAAACTGGTTTAAAAATAGTTTCATGGGTTGAAAATTTCTTACATACTTCATTTCTTTCATGCCCGTTTTTCTTTTTTTCTAAATACGTTCTTTCAATATCTGGCATTGGACTTACCAATGAATCGTAGTAGCTGATAATGATATGCTCACGTTCAAAAGTACCAACACCCAATGACCTTGTATCTTACCTTTATACGGGGAATATGAACTGGTCTGATTGTAATTTCAAAATTATAATCGCCATAACACATACTTGCAGGTTTCCATGCTAATAGCTAAAATTAGTACAGCTACGTTTTTACGCTTTTTTGCTAATGTGCACAAAAATGCATATAACACATTGCATTAGCACAAATGCTATATGCAAAAATGCAGATCATTCCTCATTAGTTACCAAAATTCTGTCGCAACATCTTTTACTACATTTGATTCTTCCCCGGATTCTCTTAACACTTCCATATTTTTCTCCCCGAAGTTTTAACAAAATTACAACTTTATAAACGCAAACTAATTTCTGATCACTTCTTCTGCAATTGCTCTATCAATTGTTTTGTATTGAATCTCAGATTAAAAGGCGTCTGTTTGGTATGCTTGTGTAAAGGTGTTAGTTAAGTTGAATAACAATACGTGGTGGAACACAATCATTTGAAAATCGATATTTGCACACTGACGTAAGAACGGAAAAGACAGAGGTCGAATATAAGAACGTACATTCATTCTCTAGCATTACAGTTTTGTTTTCTCTATATTCACTTAAAATTCTTCAAGTTTAATAAGTTCCTAGGCAATACGGCTCGTGGGGTTTTGCAAACGTATTTTTTTAAATAAGATAATTCGAATCAAATTTGCCGCACGATTCACTAGGTAATTCAATTGTTCACTTAAAGATGTCAACACCAGTGTTGCCAATGTCAGAGTTGCCAACATCGTGAAAGAACATTATGGCGTATTAAGTTTAAAATGTCTTTGGGTGCTGGTATTTAATCAACATCACCTACATAGATCGATTTATGAGGCGTTGGTTTAATTTCCAGCATTATCACTAAGGTTGCTACGACAAAAACAGAAAAAAACATGTCTTTGGAAATTTATTTGAAGCTTATAGCCGGATCCGAAAACAAATTACCAGTTCCGGGTCAGGAAAGCGAGACGTGTGGAATGACACCTCATACGTCGTGATTGGTGCACAGCAAGTGGTCTAGCCGCCAGTGACGAAATCGCACACATCCGCACATCTACGTACCCACCCGTACACAAGCGTTTTACTCAAATACTCTCGTTGTGGGTGTGTATAAATGGGTTTCACAACACTAACTTATTTCTGCTTTCCGGATGTGCTTTAAATTGGGGTTAGTGGAAAAATAAATGACTGGGGCAGCCAATTCTATGAACAGTCAAACATTTACTATATTGTTAATATTATTATTACTGTAATCTCTTTGTCCTGGTCCCATTATTGCTATCTCGTGCTTAAGAAGAGAAAGCTATGTAATGCTGCGCGAAAAAACGGCTAATTTTCGGCCGAAAAAACCTAGTTCCCGGGCTCGGTAACAAAAATAATAACTTATTATCATTATTTAAAAACTATATGAAATAAAGATTGCTAGCATTCAGTCGCCCGCTCCCAATTTACGCAGTTGGATGCTACGTGAGTTAAAATTTATATATTAGATCATTTTAATATTATTTATACTATATTTGTTACTTAATTTTAAATTGCGCCCTTTGTGTTAAATGTGAAAACGAATAGACGGGCGGTCATTGATGGTGGTTGTTACCGACTGTTGTAACGCTGCACAGATAATAAAAGACGGTAATGAGGGCTACTTTTCATTCGCGGTAATAAAAACGTAGCATTTTATATATTTGTAGAACATTACAACACAATACTGTTTAATGATTACTATTATATATTTTTTGATCTATTTGTTTTCCAACGCTATCAGTATCGCATTATGTATTAACTTTTAATTATTTAACTTTCTCGCATTCTACTTATTTTGCGCACCACATGATCTATGAATTCAAATGAGTTTTACAAAAAATAATTCGGAGAGAAATTGTGGTATAATAGTTTATGCAATTAGTTTATAATGTTAAGCTTTATTGCATGAGTACATGTTTTGAAAACGAGCGACTTTAGGAGCGAGTTTTCAAATTGATACGAATGTAATGAAGCAACATAAACGAGTTGCATACTATATTTTTTTGTTTAACAGCATTATACATTTATAAGAGAATCAAACTTAATTTTGTGATACACCTTCCGGCTGCGACGACTCGGGTATTTGACACAGTGCGAATAAACGGTGGTCGGCTAAACCGTTTAGCTCTACCTCCCCCAATTCTCTCGCTACGATTGGCTGAATATGTGATGACGCAATCATTCGTGACATAAAATCTAATACGTCATCATTTGTGCCGCAAAATGCCCGATTATGAACGATTTCTTGCAACAGAAAAGGTTCTTTTATAATGCTGGAATACAAAAAATAGTATTACATAACCATTACTAATGGCTAAAAAGTACTTGCTGTTTTAGCACCACTAGTTTGTTTGAGGGCTTGTTTTCCCCATCCAGGTATCACCCATCAGTGGGGCAGAACCCCAGCCGAGACAATCTCTAAGCTTCAGGCATGTGTGTTAATGTAATGAAAGTAAGTGTGTTGAATTAAGGGATGAAGAGAGGACAAGGAAGAGGATGAAAAGATCGCGCGTGGCCCGTTTTTTAGGGTATTACTCTGGCATTCACCTGATGTTGATCGCAGAAACCACGGAAAACTACAGAACAGAGAACCCAACGCAAGAAGTCTTCTCTAAACAGTGGCTGAAATCCATCCAGCTGTGTAGCTAGTGACGAACATCTTGCCACCATCGAGACTCTCGAGACCCTACGAACTCTTGCTCAAAGAAATTGCAGTGACATCAGTTGATGCCCTGAGCGACCTCAGCCGGTGCAGCGACTCACCGGGAAGGGCTTCTCGCCCGTGTGCAGGCGGCGGTGACGCAGGAGGCCGTTGCTGGAGTTGAAGCTGCGCCCGCAGTCGGCGCACTGCTCGACGCGGCCCTCGTGCTTGCGCAGATGCACTGCGCCCGTGAAACATACCATAAAGTCATCCGCTTTGGAGAAATCGTGGGATATTTATTATCCTTTAAGGAGTTTTACATTTTTATTCAATTCTATCTGATCAGCTGAAGATCAGGTGCACTGATCTTGAATTTATTTACAGTTTTTAGTTGTTCTCTAACACAAAAAGAGGCTGATCCTAATATTTCTTCAATATCACTCAACCAAGATGATTGTGAATGGTCAGAAGGAACATGAAATGCATTTTAAGACAAAATGGAGTTTATTACATTTTTATGTTTCGTTAAACGATTGACTTTGCAATATAGTATAACTTTACAATAGTGACTTATCACATGCAAGCATTTCGATGATACAGCGTACCAGGAAACTCTCCGTAGTGGCACCTTGGTACTTGCAAACAAATCATATGGAATCAGCAAGTAACAAAAGACAATGTAAATACCGCACTCACCACAATCATAATTCATGTTGGAGGTGTTGTCCCTTCACATGTTTTCCTGCGATGTGTTTGCAACTAACATAAATACAATTTTTAATAGGAGGTCCTGACTTGTCTCAATGCGGAGAGACTTTCCTGGCGCACTATATATTTCACTTTTTTTTCAGGTATGCATATAGTCACCATCGTCCTCAACATAATAATCGCCCAAGAGTACACCCTTAAGAATGATACCACAGCCTACGCACCCTTATAATTAGCTCTAAAAGCATAACAGATTTCATGCGCATTCGTGTACTATTAACCTTGATACGTAGCTATTGGTTTTTGTCCTGATCACTGCGCCGTAGAATCACTTAAACTAGAAAAAATGCACATCATCTCTTTTCTCTTCGAATCTTTATACTTCTTTCAGATGCACATTTTTCGCAACTGGAACAGCCCTGAGTATCACTAGCCGCTATTTTAATCTTGGAAAGTTGGAGCGAACACTGGGCCACAGAATACAATGTATATATTAGATTCTATTCTGCGACTGCACGTTCCCTGTGTCAAAGAAGTTGCCTATCCCCAGGCGCTAGAGCTATTGCCAATGGTTGAGGTTATTGATTCTACCACTAGGAATATCCGACCTAAATTGTACCATTCCACGAACGTAATTATTTTGTAATAAAAAATAAAGTGACTTTAGAGCTAATTCAGTCTGAAAAAAAACAACAATCACGATCGATAAACAATTGAAGTAATTTGTCTTTCTGGGAAATTTATGTCACTCTGCAAAATGTGCAGTCTGTGAAACATACTGTGTATGTAAAAAAACGCTGATCAATTCGACCTAATACAATCTGTTTTCATTCTAAACTTAAGTAAATAATAGAACGCCCATTAATAGATAATTAAAGGGTTGATGATAAAAGTTAAGAACACGAAAAAAAGAACAGTTGCAGTACATCAGATCCATGATACTGTAACAAGTTCCCTACTTACAGTATCATGGTTCTGGTGTACTGCAACTGTAACAAAGGAACTTGTTACAGTATCGTGGAACTGGTGTACTGCAAGTGATGAGTGAATGAGTTGGAAAATGGAAGAAGAAAAAATGGTTGAACGCGAGAAAAAGAAAATACACGTGAATTTGAAATTAAGAAATAAGAACTGTCTCTACCTGCGAGAAGGAATACACTTATTCATGCTAGACAAAGTCTGCGAGGAAAAATGTCAGGTGCCGAGGGATTTAATAATTAAACTGGCGCGGAGAAACGAGAGCACATGCAGAAGAGCAAGAAACGTCCCCAGCAGGGACAACACACCTTTGTAGTTGCTGCTGTAGCGGAAGCGGGCGTCGCAGTGGGCGCAGACGAAGCGGGCGTCGCGCCGGTGGCGGCCGCGCTCGTGCCGCGTCAGCTGGCAGCGCGACGCGAAGCGCTGGGGGCACTCGCCGCACGCGAACGGCCGCTCCCCTGCGCACAGCCCCGCACCGCACCCCGCCACATTCGCCACTCTTCCCCGCACCCCATTCATCGCGCCCCACCCCACTCGACTCGCCTTTTTTCCATATCTGCCTACAACCGCAATATCGAGCAAGTTCGAGATTTTTTTTCTTCAAATCAAATTTGTTGTATATAATTAATGCTGTATTTGATATCAGATATTTGTAACTATAATAGATTTCGCGTAATTTTGTGTGAAGTATGAGATATTTCAAAAACAAGGTTTTGTCAAAAATGATTCAACTTTTTTTATATTTGCTAAATTCACTGAAAATGTGAAATACATGACATTTTGGAGTATTCTTTTGCATTTTCAACAATTTGACACATTTATTTTTTAAATATCTCTCAAGTCATTAGAATTTACATTACTTGCGTTTTTATACATTATTACCTTTGTTAGTACAAGTACTCAAAATGATTTCTGATGATGCTTCTCAAAAACTCACAAGTTCAATGTAAATGAGCTTAAAAATAGGCATTTTCGGAAATGCTCAAACAGCATATTCTCAACAACAAAAACGGTCATTATTTTTCAATGAAATTTGCATATATGAGTAGGTTTTACTCTTCTTTAATTTTCTTGAAGTTATATTTCAATTCCATTATTATGGGACCGAAAAAGTGAGAAAATGTTTTGAAAAAGTCATTTAGGCGCCGACAGATAGCAGCTGGGAACAGGGTGGCGCAATACCAAAAAGCTAACCCAGAGCACGGGGATTAGGAAACAAACTAATACAAAGAAGTCTGTGCCATTTAACAGCCGTTGCTGTAGTGTCCATAGCAACGAATCATCTTGCCCCATCTAATCCCAAGCCGTGAAGCGCCATGTGCGGAGGCGCGTGGGCTCACCGGTGTGCGAGCGCATATGCAGCGCGAGGTGGAAGCGCTGGCCGAACAGCTTGCTGCAGTGCGGGCACTCGAAGGCGCGCCGCGGACCGCTGTGCTGCGAGCGCACGTGGTTGCACAGGCACGACGCCGTGCGGAACAGCAGCCCGCACACGTGGCAGCAGAAGTGGCGCCGCTCCGCGTGCACGAACGCGTGGCTCCTGCGCGCAACAGTGGCCTTCTATTTTGCCTTGCCCTTTCGGGCTACAGCGGTGATTCACACATGCCCAACAACATACACTATGTATTGACTCAACAACTACAACAAAAATAAAATTTGGTATGTAATTAACATTTCCAATCTTTCTAGTTCTATCCATAATTTAATATCCATTAGGTACAGTTAACTTGAAAACTATCATTTCTAACGATGTGTGTATAATATTCGCAAATATAAAATATACACCATATTCAACCCTCCACATTTTACTTTATCTTCATTAATAACACCTGCTAAAGAACATCATTTTCAAACTATTCCAGAAAAATAAGGAGATTTAAAAAATATTTTTAAATACTGAATCTTATGAAAATACGTAGGTCATCCAATAAGAAGGTTCCCTGTTTCTTTCTCTGCATACCATTCTACGAACATTCATTGGGGTATGGTGGCGGCGCTTAGCCTTCCACTGCACGCGAGTCCTTTGAGTTCGCCAGTACGGCACCATCTGCCATGGAGCTTCCACACGAAAGCGAGTCCGCTTGCGATCTCCGTTCTGTTATTCGATATTTCACAACGAAAAATGAAGCGGATATCACTCTTCACCAGTGCGTGCGCATTTATGGTAAAGGATACATGCGCATCCAAATGGTTCACCAATGGCGTTCATGGTTCCTGGGTGGATGGTAAAATTTGGCCACTGTTACTGTTGAGAATGTGGTGGACGAAGAACAAGACGCCGTAATTGTCACTGATGACATAATGATTCGACTGCTTTCCGATATGGAAATTGGACGCTCGTCTATTAGGACGATCCTGACATATCTTGCATTATCGAAAAGACTGTGCAAGATGGGTCGACGTTTCCTTACTAATGTTTACAAGCAGCGGATCGAGGCAGCACAAGCTTTCCTGCAAATGCATCAACGAGAGAGGAGAGGAGAGAGAAGAGGAGAGAAAGGAGAGGAGAGATCAACTTTTTTCCCGCATTTCCACTGGAGATGAAGGCTGGGTGCATCATTCAACTCCAGAGACACAACGAAAAAGTATGGTAGGGAAGAAACCGGGCGAACGTGCATCAAAAAGTCTTCAGCCTCTGCAAGCATAGTAACGGCTAGTGTTTTGAAACTGTAAGGGAGTTTTACTGATTGACTACCAGAAAGGACGCACTGCAGTCACATCTGACAGGTACTGCGCGGTCCTTACGAACTTCAGAGCTGCAATCAAAACGAAAACAAACTGGTCTGTCTCGGAAGGTATTGTTCTTTCATGACAAAGCGCACCATCGCAATATGCGGCTCGAAGAACCAAAGACTTGTTACAGACTTTCAAATGAGACCTTTTCCTCCAACCCTCTTATTCTCCTGATTTTGTCCCCAGTGATTTCCATCTCTTTCCATTCTGGGTAAGCGCGCGACAGCAATTAGGGTAGCGGCCGATAAGACGCACCGCTGCCATGATGCGCCCAGGCGACGGAGTTGCCTCACCAGCCATGTCGCCGACCAGCCTCCTCATTTGCTTGCGGCACCTTACATTCGGCATCTTTGCCTAGCACAGTTAGTCATCGCTCAGGCTCTTCTTGTCGCAGCCGAGAGTCAACCTACCTGGAAAGCACGCATCACGCCGAGAGTCAACCCGGTGCCCCTCCCTCGGCACCAAGAAGTGGATCCTGGACCGACAGCCTCACACCTCAAGATTACTTCACGGCAACCGAAGACTACTTAGTATATCTTTTCTCATGTGCCTGCACCTCATGCGGACCCATGTTGTATGTTGTAACAAATAAACATGTCTTCCTGAAAGAACTTCATTCTCATTTATAAATACACAACATTTCACAATTCAAGTTGTACCTTGGAGGCAAGCGGTTTGCTACTGAAGAGGAGGTGAACTACTGGCTACGGTGACACGACGTAATCTGGTATAACGGAGGTATCAAAAAAATACTGCCAAGATATCAAAAGTGTTTGGACAGAAATTGCAACTATGTAAAGAAGCAGTGTAGAAGTTATATAATAGTTTCTCAAGTGTAACCAACCCACTTGTACTTTTCATAAAATATTGAACTTATTTATTGGATGACGCTCGTAATAAAGATTGGAAATGTGACATCGTCCTTTGGTTTCCATGGAATGGAGCAGAGGCTGACCTGAGAGAGAACTTGTTCTTGAATAGCTTGCTGCATACGGGGCAGCGATGTTCGGTGTGGTGGGTTTCCTCATGCCGCTGGAGCGCCGTCGCATCGCGGAAGCGCCTTCCGCAGCAGACGCTCACCGCCTCACCCGGCGCCTGAGCCTCCGCGCCGGCCTCCCCCTCGTCCCTGCCCGCCGCCGCCTTCGCCTCCGCCATTGCTGCCGTTGTCTCGACCGCTGCCTTGCAGGGTGCTGCGCATCCACGTACAAAATGGATTTATTACACTGACAATCCAGCGATCACCACGGATTTATTTGCCCCACCTCGCCGCCTGCTTCGCCCCGGTCCACCCCAAGAATATCAATATTAATTACAATATTAGAAATAAAAGAATATTGCTCTAATTATATATATATATATTGTGACGGTGCGTACCTTCAAATCCTCTTTTAATGAGGACATTGTATAAATAGGTAGGTCAACGACCACACATGAATCTTATCTGTTGATAAGATTGAATAAGTATAGGGGGCAAGGAGTCTTATTGGGGTAACGACCTTGTTGATCATATGTATTGGATTAATAAATAAAAAAATTATTTCCAAGAACAAAACAAAACAATCACTTTTTAATGACTTCTGACTTAGTAACAAACATCTCAGGCTCGCCTGTTCCTCTAATGATATCCGAAATCTAGCCTTTCTTACAAGATCATGAACTCTATTGTATGGATATTATGTTGACCGCTGTGATTCTTTTACAAAAAAATATCACTTCTATTTAGCAAATCACACACAAAAAAGTACACTCTATTGTGATTTTCTTTAACCATTAATAATACCCTTTATATTAACAATAGAACAATACACTTATTGACTGCCTGTAACTATACTATAATAAAACAAATACGTCAATCAATATATACATCTATATATGTATATATATATACATATATATACATATATATATATATATTGAATACAACTAAATATAACTGAACATTTTACTACACAAATGCATTTCTATGCCAATATCCAGTGACACTACAAACTAGAAATTTATTGATCAAATAAAATAATGAAATATCTGGTGTTGCCGGGACTTTCTTCATACCCAATCCTTAGGAAAGAAGAAAAAGATAAATTTTATACAATACACAATGTTTAAGATTCTTTTTAATGTAATTGTTCAAATTTTATTGAACTACAACTATTTTATTTTACATTGCTATTAGATTAAAAATTTTAATCTCACGCACGGCTACTGCCTTCTAGCGAATCTATTTGGTACCAATTCTGCTGCTTGCCTCTCGCAGAATATAATAGGAACCAATCTGCTCTCTTCGATAGGCGAAAAAGAATGAACGCAGTGCATCCAACATATCATTTAAATAATTTATTTTCCACATTCGTGTTATATTTCGTGAAGAAAAATGTTTAGTTCATACAATTAATCACGTAGGCGATTCAACTATACGGTATAGTAAATTTTGGAAGAACAAAGTGATTAAGACACGTTCACGAAAATGCTGTTTAGTTAAACACGCTAACTCACGTACAGTAATGTTCACTAAACAGGTCTAACCCCACGACGAATGGCACCTAATGGCGATAATTAAACGAATCTTTGAGTTGAATAATACATAGTAATATATACTATACACATTGCAATAAAAATAACTAAACGAATAGTTGCTTTTCACTAATTACTAAACGCTGCTGAGAAAGCCATATTAAGCAGAAACATGGGAATATTTTCTCTATCTTCAGGCAGGTAGCAACTGGGATTCCCAAAGTGTCACCCATCCAACGGTGCCGTGAGCTCGACGTCTCTTAATCACGGTTACTTGACAGACCCTAGCCGAGCAGAACAATTACGGACGCTGGCTACCAACGTTTGTTCACCAGAGGAATGTCTAATATTAATTTAGAATTCAACATGTAATTATTTTCAATCAATAAAATACTAAACAGGCAATTTATACAGAGTGTAATATTACCGGGTGTTCATTTTATCGTTCCCCGAAGAATCGGGCCGCGTCGCCTCGAGAGGCAAGGCTCGGTCTCAGAGTGAAACGCGGACTCAACTCTCGTGCTGACACATGGGAATTATTGCTGCTTTTATCTTCCCTTAAAGCACATGCTGAAAGTAGTGTCCTTCGGCTCAAATGCATTCTTAGCACCTACGGAACATATTCTGATTCTCTTTTCTGATGTAGCATGCTTTCATCTGAGTGGATTCAACAGAGAAAACAACCTCTACAGGGCAGAAAACTCACATCCTTCATGAAGAGTAGTGTGCGTTGAATTCCACAAACATTAATAAGGACCTTCTTTTGTGTAACAGCACATACTGTTGATGTTTACACAAATAATATATATAAATTCTTTGAACAATTGACACCACAATAAAGGCTCTAGTGTTACCTTCAATAGGATTCCTCCACTGCTCACGCTGCTGATCGATCCATGAACTTTTTAAATACTGTTTTTGGTGATGATCAAATAATCCATCGTGGGTTATAGCCTCTAACGTCACCTGATCTGAATTGCCGACTAATTTACCTTCAAATGTACGACTCTTTGCGATGACTGCGTGATCTATAGGATTATCAACTCGAAGAAAGACGAGGATATTTTGCAGCGAGACAAATTAGATATCTGGGCAGAAACGAACGGCATGGAAATAAATAGTTCAAAGAGTAAGTCCATCACGTTTGGTAGGGGTCGAAGTTACAATGAATCTGCGTACAAACTGAACAATAATGTTATACTTCGAGTCACGTCTTGCAAATACTGAGCAATACAGACAGTAAATTGAGCTGGGAAAATCAACTCAATTTAGTTGTAGGGAAAGCCTGGAAATTTTTTGCGTTTTTTGCCAGTGTTTTTTACGCGTTTGCACAAGTTTCATCGCTTTCAATCATTTTATAAACACAGGAATATATTGAAAGTAAATACAAAATATATAATTTAAATTTTAATACACTGAATCATTAATTTGTTAATACATTAGTGTTACAGATGTGTTGAATATATAATTAATAATAAGCAATTTGTAACGTTCTTTAAATACAAGGTTCAAAATGATTTCCATAGGAATAAGAACCTCAATTTGTTGTAAAAGTAATGCTTGTTTCTGACGATGGGCTCTAATTAAGAAACGTATTGCAAATGGCATATAGCATGAAATTACAACATATTGGGAAAATAATACTCAAAACATTCAAGAGCATTCTGACTCCTCTATATAGCTATTTCTCGGTGCCATCTCAAAAGAAGTTAGTAGAAAAAAACGGTTTTACAAGATCGATATCTCGAACTGCGGAAATAATAATCCATTGAATTGGATGGAGTGAATCGTACCTAATGCAGAGGGTACTTTTGCCACTTTTTGATTTAATTTTAACACAATTTTTAATAATTTAAGGTAATTTAACTTATTAATTGCTTGGATTGTACATAAGTTAATACATCCATTTAATATAATAGGGCAAAAATCGTAATAATTAAATTACAGTATGCCTGAACTAAATAGTATAGATCGAAATCAGTAATAATTCAATTACAATGTACCTTAACTCAATATTATAGATCAAAAATACTTACACAATGTACCCAAACTCAATATTGTATATCATTATTTAGTGACTTTAATCACTTTCATTGCTCGAAATATTATAGTTATCAATTTTATAAAACCATTAATACATTGATGCCAACATCTATTTTTCTCCGTTTATATTAGTAATTTTCTTCATATATACTATGTTGGAAATCATGTGTTCAGCTGTTTTTACATATCCGATATAAACATATCCAATATCCTTATAACATATTCAATCTTGTTATTAGGAATAGTATTATGAAACGTACCACATAGTTTCATAGATGTTCTTGTGCAGCACCGACATTTTTTTCTAATGTACGTATTAATCAAATAAATGGGATATCCTGTAATAAATAGAAATGGTAATATCGCCATTTCTAAATTTTTATTATTCTTCTTTTGAATTCTTTAAACGCCTTTTTTAACGATACGCCTTTTTTATAAAATTGGAAGTGTTATGTTCCAAGATTCCGATGGAAATTAGTCATTTCGACCATTTTTAGTGAAATGTTCTGCATAAAATAATGATCAAATTTGCTTAAGTATTTTTCTTGGGAAATCTACAAAAACAAAATATGGCATCTCATATTGTAAATAATGATAATGATTGTCAATATCCATTTCAAAATTATTTTTTTCAATAATTTTAGATAATTCAAACGTTTGTAAATCATAAAATGAAATTGTAGATATAGGATTTTTTATTAGATAAGCTTCAAATTCCATAGCATTAAAAGATTCATAATATGCAATTGATGTATTAATTTCGAAATTTTTAATTTTTCCTTCTTGTGATGTTGCAAAATCGAATGTACAATCATTTTAAAAACATCATTTATAGAAGGAGACCAAGTAAAGAAAATCGTAAAATCAACTTCCCAAGTAATTTTCTTAAAATATTTTTAAAATATCCTCCCAATATTCTCAATGGATACAAAACATCATCTTTCGTTTTGGGTATAGGATTAGTAACACCAGAAACATCTAATGGAGTTAATTGAATTATTGAATAAGAGCTGCTTTGTAAAATAGTTGTAATTCCAGGATAAATATTTTTGACCTCTTTTTTCTCTAATAGATGAAAACAAATAAGGTACAAAATTATCAATTGGTTTAACATTTGATTTACTGCCACATGCTCAATAAACATCCATTTTATGTACAATTTGATAATTTACTTATATATATATTATAATATATATAGTGTATATATATATATAGAATATAATATTAAAACGAAACGTTCTGTTAAACACTTAAAATGGATATAATATAAATTAAATAAAGTACTTGGAGTTATTCAGCGCAGTAAAACGCCGCGCGCACACACCAACGGTCAAATCGGGGGGGGGGGGGGAATGGCGAGGCGAGCGACGGTGGCTGTGCGCGGAAAGGCCTCGAGTGAACACGGACGGGGCATGTTGCGTCAAAGAGATTTATGTCATTGTTAAGTTGCAGTTCGGACTGTATTGTTGTTTTCTGAATGTGAACCAAGGTTTGATAAGATTAACAGTCAGATGATTAGTGAAAGTAGAAAATTGCGTACCAGGACTGATAAAAACCAATAAGACAGTGAAAGTCGTGTGGCGGTGGGCTAGCGTCATAATCCGGCCCTGGTATAATATAATGTTGGGTAGTGCTT